GGGGAAGACTACAATGAAATATTTTCTATTCATGAGATCCACACTGCCCTTGGGCAAGCTCATGATACCGCAACAGGAGCTGATAACATACATTATCAACTCCTGAAACATGTACAGGGACTAGTGTAGAAACTCTTCTGCTGATATTTGATGAAATTTATTCCCATACCAAAATCTGGACAGGATCATACCGATCCCTTAAATTATAGACCCATTTCATTGACTAGCTGCGTTTGCCAAACCATTGAACGCATGGTCAATAATAGATTGACATGGTACTTAGAAACTAATAATTTAATAACCATTATTCAGTGTGGTTTTCGTAAAAATCGCAGTACCATTGACCATTTAGTTCAATTGGAATCATTCGTTAAGAATGCAATAATAAACAAGCAGCATGCTGTGACTATCTTTTTCGATCTAGAAAAAGCATATGACACAACATGGAAACACGGTATTTTAAAAGATTTACATGGTCTTGGATTGCGAGGCCGTTTGCCTCAATTTATATCCGGGTTTTTAACTGACAGGCAGTTACAAGTCCGCGTGGGTTCTACCCTGTCTGATGATTATCATCAGGATCAGGGTGTCCCACAAGGCAGTATTGCGTCTGTCACATTGTTTTGTATCAAATAAAGAGCCTCCCTTAAGTTTTAAATGATTCAGTTGATGGGTCATTTTTTGTGGATGATTTTAACGTATCTTGCCGTGGTTAAAATATGCATACTATTGAAAGACAATTACAATATAATTATATCTAAATAAAATACATAAATGGTCTTTAGAAAACGGTTTTAAATTTTCAAAATCTAAAACAAATTGTATTCACTTTTGTAGAAAATACAAACCTCATAGAGACCCAGAATTAGTTTTGGACGGTAATCATATAAAGGCTGTCAAGGAGGCAAAGTTTTTGGGTTTAATTTTTGACAGCGATTTGAGGTTTTTACCTCACATCAAATATTTAAAAAATAGATGCCTAAAGGCCTTGGATTTGCTGAGGGTCGTATCAATTTAAAATGGGGAGGAGATCAGAAAACGCTCCTCCAAATGTACAGACCACTCATTCGCTCTAAACTAGATTATGGCTCCATCATCTATGGTGGGGCCTGTAAAAGTAATATAACATAATTAGATAGTACTCACCATCAAGGTCTGAGGCTTTGCCTTGGTTCCTTCCGAACTTCTATCAATGGTTTATATGTTGAGGCTGATGAGCCGTCACTCAAACACCGTCGCTAAAAACTATCCTTACAATACATTACTAAACTTGTTTTCCAATCCGTCTAATCCAGCGTGTCACTTAGTGGTGTTTCTTTATCGGTTAACAAACTGACCTGAAATGTTTCATTATTATCCCCACCACGAAGGCTTCACGTCCGCTTCTTAAAAACTATTTGAAAAATTCAAAAATACAAATAAAATTGTGCACACTGATATAGCTGGTCATGCAGTTTGTGCATTCTATCAACATCTACCATCAACATCTAACATGACTCAACCCGCTGTGATAGGTGAGTCTTCTCTCTTGGCCGATTTATTGGCATATAATTTTGGTCCATATTTGAATAACTGACAAGGTTTGTCAACAATAGAGAGGTCACATGTAGTTTTATGACCTACAGGTGTAGCAGTATGATGAGTCTTGGCAGCCACAAGTAGTGGAATTTACATCATGAGTCCACGTTCTGCAACATTGAATGACATGGTGATCGTACAGGAAAATGAAATTATTGTTTCCTTAAATTTGAAATAGTGTGTGAAACTGATGTTTCTCTGAGACTGTTACTTAAACTGCTTGTTTTCAAATATTAAATTCACAAACATGCGGTCTTTGTCTAATTTAGGGGAGTCTGGTTCTGGTTTGTCCAAACGTTTCAAAGCAATTATCAAGAACTATACCCTCCAGTCGATATGGTGGGCTCTTGCTGTTTGTAGTTCCACCCAGCAGCAGAAGTTGCTTGAGTCGTTTAATTTCTTTCAGTGACACAGAGTACGGTACTCTTGTTCTCACTTTGTGCAGTCCCAATGGTTATTTAGTCCTGGAGATCCGGGACAGAATGGGTCTTCAGCAACCCATGCTTGTCGTAAAAGGCGACTATGCTTGTCGTAAGAGGCGACTAACGGAATCGGTTGGTCAGGCTCGCTGACTTGGTTGATGCATGCCATCTATCCCAATTTCGTGGATCGATGCTCATGATGTCAATCACTGGATTGTCTGGTCCAGACTCGATTATTTACCGCTCCAACATAAATATATCCACAAAGGGTACATTCAATACCATAATTGACTCTTCTAGTTTGACATTATTGATCTCCGAAAGGTTTATTGCAGTATGTTTTAACTGTAAATTTAGATATTAATTCAGAGTCAGAGATTAAAATGTCCAAATATGACGCATCAATTCCCGGTGCAATTCCCTATTTTTGTCAGAAAAACCCAATTGACTTGCATTTGCATGTTCTTGTGACGGGCACCCCCAGTGGGGCAGGATACGCTCGCCTTTTCGTGAACAACTGGTATCATCACTATTTGATAGCGATTCGTAAACATATGCTTATGATATAGTCGTAATCGTACAATGGACTGTGGTCTTAGCAGATATGTCATATGATTATGGAAATGTTTTTTGTCGCTGATAAGCTTGCTCATATATTTGGGGGCGACAGAACAATGGAAGTATACACGTGAGAATCGGTGTGCACGCTGTAAAAATTGGATTTTACGCCTCTTTGAACAGTATTTTAATTACATGTATATCATGGCGTGCCAGCTTAATATGTGTGTTGAAAGTCTAAAGTGAAGCAGCTATGAAACTTGGACAACAGGGGAACAGATCTTTCAGATTTATGCTTTGATAATGTAAATTCCTTGCGATTGGAAAGTCCACACAGTGAAGCAAAATATGCTTGATGGTGAACCTTACAATCACAAGGGATATACATGAGAGGTTCGTCCCCATCTGCTGTTAGCAGATATTTTTGGGTAAACCGACTGTTGTCAATACGACATCGTCGGAACATGACCTCTTCATGTCTTGACTGACAACCCAAGTATGTATGACCAATTGCTGGTTTAAATTCGTGAAGTTTATTTATTCCTACCTAGGTGTCCCACCTTTATTGCATAAGATCCCGAGTATAACTATTGGTTTGAAATTACTGTATGGAATAAAGAGTGGAGATAGCGGTTTGTTAAGAGCTGCATTGGCTGCATTATCGACTGTTTAGTTACCAGTTATGCCTACATGACTTGGTAATTAACAAACGACGATGTCACATTGACCAGCAGAAAGATCAGTATATAGTTCTAAAATGTTAAGGATTACAGGATTATTTGAAGAGACGCATGTAAGTGCCTCAAGCCAGACGAGGAATCTCAACATATGATGATTTTTAACAATATCGTTGTTGTTCAAGTCAATGGTGTTAAGATAGGTTTGACCTCAGCAGTGGAGTTTGAACTATTATCTGTGACTCTTGAGGAAACAGTTTTGGGTCACATGATGGTGGCACTTGCAACTTTGCCACCATCCTTGGGACCGTCTGTAAAAATGAATCTGTGAAATAATTGAAAATAATAAAAAAAATGAAATATATTTTGATCGTCATTGGTTATATTCTTGATGATATATCAATGGATGTGACTATTGTATTGACACTCAAGTGATTTTATATTTTGTAGGTAAACACGAATCGAAAGCGGGACTCGAACCCTCACCATATGATTTGAGGAGGTGTAATAGTCGATATCTACTACAGCAACACATTATAAGGACTAAACTGCAAACTTGCAAATCTTTCTGTTCTGTTACAGTTACAGTAACTGGCATGTTCTCCTCAGCAGAAGGGACACAGAAAATATCCTTTGTACAAAATGTGAGATTGGTCGTTCGATATGTTTCGGGATGGCTGAGGTTCCAGAAAGCTGATTGTACACAAATGTACCCATATAAGACCCGACTTGCGTCTGATCTACTTGCCAAGTGCGGATGGGATACCTTTCTGAAGACACTGTATTTCCGCCAGTTTCTAACAGTATTCAAAAACAGAACAGGCCTGTGCAATGTGTGTTTGTCTTGTTTGTTTGTTGTTTAACGCCGCATTCAGCAATATTACAGCTATATGACGGCAGTCTGTAAATAATCGAGTCTGGACCAGATAATATAATGGTTGACATCATGAGCATCGATCTAAGCAATTGGGAAACGATGACATAAGTCTACAAAGTCAACGAGCCTGACCACCCGATCCTGTTTATTGCCTTTACGTCAAGCATGGGTTGCTGAAGACCGAAACTACACCGGATCTTCACGGCCTGTGCGATTTCATATATGGGTCTGTAAGTTATTGCAACATATTTGACCCCTTGTATTGCATTTGTGACCTAAAGCTTTGTCTTTCTCTGAATATAATTGCTTATGTCCTCCGCTATTTTCATAATTCAATCTATATGGAACCTTTAAACGAAAACACATGTATTAATTATTGTAACCTGTTTGACCCGTGAAGATCTGGGCTACAATAGGTCTTCAGCAACCAATGCTTGTCGTAAAAGGCGACTATGCTTGTCGTAAAAGGCGACTATGCTTGTCGTAAAAGGCGACTAATGGGATCGGGTGGTCAGGCTCACTGACTTGGTTGATGGATTGCGTGGATTGATGCTCATGATGTCAATCACTGGATGCCCGCCGTCACGTAGCTGGAATATTGCTAAGTGCGGCGTTAAACAACAAACAAACCAAACTGTAATGTTGCCTGGTGCTGCTTCATAAACAACAATCATCCTTACATTATTGATTTTCAGGAACAAAAATGTAAATTACAGTCGCTTTAAAATCATAAATTAAAGTTGCTTAAACCTGATAACAATTTTTATTGTCATACGTGCCGTTGTGTCAATTCTATCAACGACAAGTGCTAAAGATTTGTTAGGTTGAGGGGGGGGGGGGGGGGGGGGGGCAAAATTGTAGGTTGTAAAAATAACATAAACAAAACCATTCCAAATGTATATTTTTTATTCTTCAACATATGACCGTGGCATAAAACAACGACCTAAGACTAATGTTAATTGCTGGTCAAAAGAAAGTATACACTTAAGATTTGGATTTCACCAAAATTACAGACTTTGTCAAAACCTTACGATGAAAAGTCACTGAAACACTGCAAACTTTCCAAATAACAACTTCGATTCCGGACTCAAATGCTACGATCAAGATGTAGGTGCACTAATCTGTCGCGTGCTTTACACTACATTAACAAAAACAACCTCCTGTGCCAACAAAGCGTGCATTTGTTTCATTGCTTGAAACATGCGTCTTGTAAACATTATGAAAAATGTGTGTTGTAAGTAATGAGACCTTGTTACACATGTAATCTGCGATCTGTGTTAACTGACCTGGGTGTTAGTGCGATCTAAAAAGTGTGAAAGGGTTTCCTTTTTTTGTGTGTTGAATTGAAATAAATTTTGACAGTGCGATTAAATGATATCTATTTCCAGTTTATTATGACTTAAGCTGAATCAGTAGCGGTGTGACATGCGACTCTTTTGGGACTTCACTTCATTGTCTTCATCCTCTTGTTTGCGTCGCGTTTTTTCATGAGCAGGAAACACATGTACACAATGATCAGGAGGAGTATCAGGGCGACGATGCAGACCACGATGGTGGCGGGGTACATCACAGACATATCAGGAAGGCAATTCTTTGCTGTTGGAGAAACACTAGTATCGCCTGGAAGAAAATCATATCTTCTCTGATCCATCAGTAGAACTTCTACAATTTGACTATCAAAGAGATCAACCCGGGTTCTGTTGATGGGGCAGGTAAGCGGATCGTGGATCGTTAGGTTCTATCCCCAAATGGGTAAAATGGGTAAAATGGGTAAAGCCCATTCTAGGCATTCCCTCTGTGATATGGCCAGAATAATACTGACAGCAGTGCAAAACCCAACTGACCTTCCTAACATCTTATGCATGACCAAAGCAGTGACAGCTCGATTATTTGAACTTCATTTACATCGAACAATTTTGTTTATATCTCGCCTCAATAACCATCTCCGTGGCCTAATGGATAGAGAACCTACCGTTTGTTTGCGATGCTGTCGTGGTGTCATCCTCAAAGTACACTGTGGTGTTGGCTGTTGACTCAACTCTGCCGTCATTGGTTTGACGCTTCTTTCTGTCTCCCGTTACTCCGCATGTTGTCTTGAAATAAATACATGCAGGAAGTACATACATACTGTTAACAGAAATGTGTCCAATTTTAGACTGAAGTTATTTAAAACTAACCTACGGTAATATTTACACAGTTTTACAGTTCATGTCTGATCATCAACAGATTGTAGACGCTGACAACAGGTGCGACAGGGGACAAACGGCAGGTGGGCTTCGTTACGTTGTATGTACACCCTCACACTGGTATGTGCCCGTCGCACATAAATAAATTGAGATATGCTGCATCTTCACTGAACATGACCAAACAGTATAGGTGTATTGACATAAGAGAAACGGAGAATTGATAAATTAAATTAAAGTAAGCAACAACCGTATTGCCCAGATAAAAACCTTTGAATTACCTTCCTACAAACCTCTCCGAAAGATTATCAACATATGTTATCCAAGGAAGCTATTAAATATATTTCATCTAATCATTGCTACATGTAATATAAAATATTTGTCATTGAATTTTTGTGTCCACATTTGCTTGAGAACTGACCCGTGAGGATCCAGGGTAGAATCAGCAACCCATGCATACCGTAAAAGGCGACTATGCTTGTCGTAAGAGGCGACTAACGGGATCGGGTGGTCAGGCTCGCTGACTTGGTTGATGCATGTCATCGTGTCCCAATTGCGTCGATCGATCCTCATGATGTCAATCACTGGATTGTCTGGTCCAGACTCGATTATTTCCAGACCGCCGGCATATAGCTGGAATATTGCTGAGTGCGGCGTTAAACAACAAACAAACAAACAAAAGCTTGAGAACTCCACGCACCAGTTGACAGCCAGCTTGATCCCCGGAGAGGCACAGTTTGTACTTCATGTCGTGCACCACGGCTGCAGGCCCTGGTCGGAAGTAACCTGGTCTGTACTGCATGCAAATCTTCGTGTTACTCACTCTGCGTGGATAGGAGTGCACGATTGCCTTACCGGACTCGTCGCTGCATCTGGAATAAGAACAAATCGCCATTTCGATGTTTCATTACTGTTAATTGTCAGTGGAAAAGATAACAAGATTATCTTTGACAATGATTTTGAAAATGAACAAATTGTCTCTTTTTAAGCTGATGCATTCCGTTTATTAAACACTGTAGCTCACCTGCTAAACCCTGTGTAATAAAGTGCCCATCTAATTCGTACGCACGGATATTTGTAATAATAATTAAAGCTATCTTATAATTTTCAGAAAAACAAAGATTGTCAAAGCATACATATTGTTGTATGAAATATTAGATCTTAGTTCAAACATTACAAGCCTCATCGAATATCACAAATTGGGTTACTAGCCATAATATTTGCTGTATTAAATATAAGTGTTGGTGAACATGATATAACTTATTGGAATAAATTGTAACTGTTGTTTTGCAAACATTTTGTTTTCGGGGACATTTGTGACTAAATCTGTACAATTTCTGAACATTTGCTTGACAAACAGTATTCACAGAACAATTGTGGCACATGAGCTTAAAACAAAAGCCTGCCTTTGAAGGCCAGAAATATGCATTCTCTGCTCGGATTGGATCGGAAATCAAAACAGGGAGTTTGAACATGAAGTTTAATTCAAGCCTAAGGGATATCGATGGTCTGATATCGCGCAATAATGGTAACATAGCCAATTACATTCCACAGATTTAGCCATCTGAACTGAAAATATAATGTTTAGATCTATGTGTTTTGATTTAGAGTGACAAAAACACCCATAAGACTGTAGAACAGGAGGAATAACTTTAACTTTCCAATAGTCAATTTGAGCAATATTTAAGGACCTCCCGCCTACATTTAACAACTTTCTGGGAATAATCGGGCATGCCCTTTTGAGATTTCAAAGAGCGTCAAATGGGTCTTGCCGAAAATGTTTGATCAGGGATATAATATTCGTAGCCTAAATATTGTGGCATGGCATGTGGAAGACGTGCTTAAATTTGATGTATCGGTGACCCAAATTATCTCTGATGCAAGATTCATGTTTCACTTGCTTCATATGGACCCATGCAGTTTCAGGCGAATTGTTTCTTGCCTTTGCATGTGTTTGTAATGTGTGCCACCGGTGTGGCAAGATTCGCCCACCTTTTCGCAAATATCATTACAATTGATGGTGATTCATTAACACATGCTCATAATATAGTCTGTATCGTACAATGGTCTGTGCCTTTTGCGGAGATTTCTTTTTGTCATGGACTTTTGTTTTGTGTGTGAATTGATTAAGATACTCTTACCCATCGTTTCCAAACACCACTGCCTCTTTCCGCGAGGAATCCGTCTGACCATTATGGACGATTATGCGGATCAAGCCAAGGTACGAAAAGCCTGCAATTATTGATAATTGAAGAAGCGGCACAACAAGAGAGGAATAATGTCGCTTTAATGCATATGGTGTTTCAGTTTTACACTGTAGTCAGCTTAATGTTGGAGCTCCAATTTAGACCGTGAAGACTTTCAACTGAGCAGGTACATTTGTTGACAAACCCTGTTAAAACCAAGCAAAGATACACACTAAAACACTTTTTATCAAATGGAAACTTGTTCTGAAGTACTTGCTAAAACAGAAGCAGACCTTTACCACCATTTCTTAATGGCTCTAGAAATCCTTCCACAACACCATGCATTTCCAATGTGACACCCTACTTTGGTTTGGTGAAATATTTGCAAACTCAATCCTCTGACCGACACATGCAGAATCGAGGTAGAATAGGTCTTCAGCAACCCATGCTTGCCGTAAAAGGCGACTTAGCTTGACGTAAGAGTCGACTAACGGGATCGGGTGGTCAGGTTCGCTGACTTGGTTGATGCCTGTCATCGTATCCCAGTTGCGTGGATCGATGCTCATGATGTCAATCACTGGATTGTCTGGTCCAGATTCGATTTTTTTCGTTATGTAGCTGGAATATTGCTGCGTGCGGCGTTAACAACAAACAAACAAAACAATCCTCGAAACACATTAACAGAACTTGTCTCCATCATAATACTAAGCAACCTAAATTTACACCAGTTCCTCAATAATGACATCGTACCCAGTCTACTGACATCGTGTCTGGTTAGGGAAACACGTGACCAAATTAAGCGAGATACATGTCACATGCAGTGTGAAAGCCAAATGTTTCCAACTACCTTATTAGGATAGTCGTTTGTGCTTCCGGTTTAATGTCGTTACTTCCGTTTGGTGAAACATGTCGAACTCATAATATGCTCCTGCTTAATGACTCCATATTAATGTTAGTTCGGTAATTAAGGACACAGAACTACTAGATGAATGACCATTCTAGTTATAGTGACCTTGAAATGTATTAATATCTTACCACTTCAAAACCCCACTCTAAGAATATTAATGATGCCACTTTTTGAGTAATCATAAACTTAAGACGATTTGAGTGTGTAACCTTGACAGTGGATGTGAACATTCCCGAGGACTATCCAGCATATAAACAAATGTGTTGTCCCATGGTGGTATTCAATGTCACAAACATAAATATAGCATATGCTTCTCATTGAAAGTAGGTCATCGTGACCTGTTATTGAAATCATAAGATTGTCATCACATTTCATTCAAATTACATAACCACTACAAGCAAATACGGGGTCGGGCGGTCAGGCTCGCAGACTTGGTTGATACATGCCATAGATCCCAATTGCGTGGGTCGATGCTCATGATGTCAATCACTGGATGGTCTGGTCCAGACTCGATTATTTTACAGACCGCCGTCATATAGCTGGAATATTGCTGAGTGCGGCGTTAAACAACAAACAAACAAATAAAAAAACAAATGGCTCAACAAAACACTGCATACATATTTTAAGAACGACATCTTTTGTGCGCTGACCTTTACGATCTCGGTTCTGTCCTAACGATGATAATTACCAAGTTGCATCGACTAACAACAAATCTTCAAATATATGGTGCAATAAGCCTGACCTTTGACCTTTGACATCACTGATACATGTGTTAAAAGACTGCCCAGGGCAGAAGACGATATCTCCATTATGTCCAAGCACCGCATGGTTTAAAAACGCATATTACCATGTGCCACGCGTTAAAAGAAGTGACATATACAAACATATTATCCAAATATTTGACCTAAATGCGGTGCCGGTCTGGCTGGCAGAATATGATATAATGCAATCTCTTGCTGACTTTTTAAGTACTATTACATCATAGAATAATCATTACGTGTCCAGTGAATGCTAATACATTTTAATATTCATTAATAACCGTTTGCTTTTATTAAAGATCAATCTTGATTGAAATAATTCATGAAATACTTACCATCATCCACGATGTTTAAACACAGCTTGTAGATTTGGTTAAGTGGAACAGGGTTGGATATGGTGCGACCATTACTCAGCGTGGCGGATAGTTTTACTCCCAAAAAGTGAGCAATCGCTTGCTGTTTGTTGAGAAAGTTTCTGTAATAACAGAGCAGTTGTCCTACTTAGTAAGTATATATTAACATACAATCCACAGGCAAACAAAATGAGCAATCTCTTGCTGTTTGTTGAGAAAGTTTCTGTAATAACAGAGCAATTGTCCCACTTAATAAGGATATATTAACATACAATCCACAGGCAAACTACAGACATGTTCTATTATTTGTAATATAGTATGTTATTGTGTGAATGTGCGTGGGCCACATACATAAACATTTTACAACAGCTACATCTAGAACGACTACTACTACTTCTACTACAAATTGTAACGTTTGGCTATTTTGAATAATGCAAATGGCATTGCATAATCTCACCCTCCTCTCGACGTAAAACAGTTATTCGTGGTATATCACTCACGTTGCAGTATCTGCTAGGATGGCATCTGTGGATATGGTTTGCCCGGATTCGTTGACACAACAATTGCCATATACAACTTCATCGGAGGCCACCAGCATGTTAGGGTTGTACTGGATGCGGTATGGTATTGTATAACACACGTTCCCTCCCTGTAGTACATAATGATGACACATTGCTTTGTCGCAAAATATTACCGAATTCATAATTATATACTTTCAGTGGATACGTTGTGCTGAGATGAGAGGCTCTGCGGGTAGATCATATTTCATGTATGTGGATGGCGGTTTCATAAGCATCTGTTAAGGTTGCTATCATCTTACCTATATGCATTTGAGGAGAAGCTAGATGCTGGGTAATTAAGTTTAACTTATATGAAAACCACACACACACACACACACACACACACACACACACACACACACACACACACACACACACACACACACACACACATATATATATATATATATTTATTCCAAACAATAATACTTTTAATTTTGATGGTTCTCATTACAAACAAATTAAAGGCACAGCAATGGGGACAAAAATGGCCCCTACTTATGCAACCCTTGTACTTGGTTATTTAGAGGAAAAACTGTACAAAAAAATTGAAGAAAGATTCGGCATAGAATTTGGACAGGGATTTCAAGATAAATGGAAAAGATTTTTAAAAGATTGTTTTGTTCTGTGGAATCGGAATGAAAACGATCTACAGTGTTTGATAGATATTTTACAGACACTCCATCCAAGTTTAATCTTTACTTTAGAGATGAGCGATAACAATCTATCGTTTCTAGATGTAATGGTTACAATTTCAAACAATAACATTGAAACAGATGTGTATTACAAAGCAACCGATTCCAAGCAATACCTCAATTACAATTCCTGTCACCCCCGTCAGACTAAAAACAGTGTCCCTTACTCATTAGCGCGTAGAATCTGCGCGATAGTCTCTTATTCAGATCGTGCACAGTATAGACTCGATGAACTGAGGGAGTCACTATTAGAAAGAAACTACCCCAGAAAAATAGTGGATCGTTGTGATCTTTTAAAACCTAAAGATAAACCTAACGAGAGTGTTCTCCCTTTTGTTACAACCTTTAATCCCCAAAACACGGAAATATTTGGAAGTGTTCGGGAAACACTGTATCCCTTAAATAAGTGTAAAGAACTAAAACAAAAAATATCACAAAAGAAACTTATAAAAAGTAAAAGAGAGAGCCAAAATCTGAAACAGATTCTTACCAGGGCTTCTTTCTCAAATGGAAAACAAGAATTGAAAACAGTACAAAAGTGTAACAGACCAAATTGTGGTACTTGCCCTCATGTTTTACAATGACGGAAAAACTTTCTATGTCCGTGAAAATATGAACTGTGCTTTAAAAAACTTGATTTATGTCACACAATGTGCTGGATGCAAGGCCGAATACATTTGACAGACAAGGGACACCCTAAGAGCGAGAGTGAGGGTCCACCGACAACAAATAAGGGACCCCTCTTGTCGGTGTATCCCACTCAGTCAACACATTCATCAGTGTGCCGGGAATAAAACACCAAATTTTGTGATATTCCCGTTTTACAAATGTGACAATGATGCATTGAGAAAGATAAAAGAAAGTTATTTTATTAATACTTTCAAACCAAAATTAAATGGCCTGAAATAATTGATTTATTTTATTCAATTACAATGTATTGTACATTTTACTGCCACTACAATACTTATTTCTGTATGAGTCGTACGCCTGCCCTATCGTATTACGCCTGTCTTATTGTGACGTCACAAAGTTAGATTGCACTATGACGTCATACTATGTTAGAGTGCACTGTGACGTCAAAACAGCGTAACGGTATAACTGTTCTCTTGAAAATCACATGCGCGAAACCGGTGGAGTAAATTATACAGCTCATCTTTGGACTTTTGTATTTTATCTATGTACCTAGCATCTAGCATCTAGCTTCTCCTCAAATACATATAGGTAAATTGATATCAATCTTATCAGATGCTTATGAACCCGCCATCCAAACATTTCACATAGATGAAATATGATCAACCCGCAGAGGCTCTCATCTCAGCACAACGTGTCCACCAAAGTTTGTAAACGGCCTATCATTGCAAGGATTAGCACTTTTTTCGACAATATTTGAAGTTGCTGCCTTGCTTATGCTGCTGCTGGTCCACAGCGACTTTCAGCTCTCCTCTTACCTGTGTCGTAGTGGTGTACGTTCCACAGCTGCCACTGAAGCCGACAGTGATGCACTGGCCTTGTATGTCTGAGGGGATCCTGTCTTCAGTGTCAGTGATACCCCCTACTGGATTGGCAGTGCATTCAGTGGAGGTGTAGCCAGAGACCGTGATGAGGGGCTGGTACAGGTTGATGGGGTTCATGCAGATTGTCATCTTGTTGTTATCACAGGATGTGATGGTTGCTAGTTATAGATGGGCGATACAGTCAACATGAGCAGTCACAGACATTGAGCAACAGCCTATGAACAAGTGCTTACGTTTGAAAATGTACCCAGGTAAAAGCAAGTGCATTATAACCATATGTGATTTAGAAAGTCTAAATGGTTATCAATATGAAAGGGGCCTGATGTGCTGCAAATTGATCCTATTAATAAATATATTTCCAAAATGTATTCCAGGTACATGTTTAGACTATTATCTCCATTGAGTGATATGAACATCTAAATGGGATACATATTATAATAACTAGAAACAAAATACTGAAAAAGATCGTCAAGAAACAATATATACTGAGTTTAATTAAATATGTACATATAATGATGACAAAATATGTGGTTATATTAGGTAACCGTGTCGAACAAACTATTATGATCACTTATACAGGTTCAGTAATCTCTTAATAATCAGATCTCTTTCTCCGTAATGATGCCTTTCTGTATGATGATCTGCAGACACAACAGATGATATTTTGTATCATTTGAGACGATTATGAGAATATAATAGAGAATTTACTATGTAACTATCTTGAGTAAAATATGAACGTACTTCTCTTGCGTTCGCACTTCTCAGCTTTGCCATTGTAATATCCAGAGTCACATACACATGCACCTGTTGACCCGTTTGAGACGCACTGTCCGTTACGTCCACAGTCCATGCCAGAACAGCCCGGGCCATTTATGTCAGCTGCAATGACCAAACAATGATATCATTGTCACAACCTTTTCTACAAGAGGGGGCACGGGTGGCCCAGTCCTCTTAGGCGCCGCGATTCGCTGTGCAGAGTTGCGTCCCTTGGGCACGCCAGAAACGTTTTGATTGTGGGTTCGTTTCCCGTCTCGCCCCAATTATGTTTCTAGGTTTGTCAGCACCATACCCATGCTCGTGGGTTTCACCGAAGTGGTAACCGTCTGAGACCTGCATGACTTCGGGCTTTCCTCCCACATTAAGCTGACACTCCGTGATATAACTGGAATACTGTTAAAAGCGGCGTTAAACCCAGCGTTGTCACACTGAAGGGCCGGGTTCGATTCCCCACATGGGCACGATGTGTGAAGCCCATTTCTCGTGTCTCCAGCCGAAAAACTATACTCAATCATTTAATCCTCTACATGACCATGTTGTAGTTAAATAAAATTAGCAAATCAAGTTTATAAATGCAGGTTGCATGAGGCGATTTTGCTGGAAGGCTATCGTAAAACAACAATTTTGCAGAATTGTGCGGAAAGTGTGGATTCGTCATGCATTACACATTCCCACAACACTATGTGTCATCCCAGAATTGTGAAACATTGCATGTCCGCATGGAATGACGAAAATAATCGTACATCTTGTACTGAACACCAGGCACATCTAATGCTATAACTTACATTGAATAATACCACAGTCATCTCCTGTTCTACCAGTAGCGGAGGAACAGTCACAAGTCGAACTGCTGGGTGGACAGACGCCGGCTTTGCAGGTAACACCATACCGGTTACAGTCGAATAGAACAGCAGCTGGAACAAGGGTAGACAATCAATCATTCCTACACCTGTCCAAAGACTCATTCGGTATTTCGGGGAGGGGGTAAAAACATAATTTGGCCTAATCTTTTTACATCAACAAGAAACATGTTGCTGGATTTACTGCTTGGTGTGAAAAATGCTTTCTGAAAAAATATGTTCCCCACACCCTTTAAGAGAGAAGAAACTATATGTCTTGGAACCGTTATCATAGAACTACATGTAGTCTGTTGGAATCAAAATGAAACACAAACCACCAACCTCAAAATCCCCACCCACCACCCCGATGTAGAATATTGTACGGTCGGTGCCTGACAAAAACGTATTTCGTATTATATTTGTTCACAGGCTGTACTGATGTGTTGGTATTTAGAGCCAAACAATCGTATAAACGTTAAGAAAATGGAATGTGATATCTGTTTGCTAATTAGCTAATGAAATAAACTAGACGTTGTTATCAACAAAATTGTGCATTTTCTTAAGCAATGTGGTTGGTTTTGTAATTGTATGGCCCCACAACAATGTTAAAATGAGCTTTTGAAAGAACAAATTCGAGAACGAAATGTATTTTAATTCTTGTCTGTTTCAGACAATGGTGAAAAACAACACGACATCGAAATTTACCGTCGTCATCGTTTATGCATCCCTTGATGGTGATGTCATCGTAGCCTGAGGCACTGATTGTAATTGAGAACTTTTCCTGTGATTCGACAACCTAAAACACAACACATGTACTGCTCGTGGAAAATGGCATAAGAGATATCGGTAAACAAACAGGGAGACTTGTACCCTCTCAGGGTAATATTAACCCTACATGAACACCTGACAGTATCTCATCCAGGGTAATATAAACCACACATGAACACCTGTATGATTCCTGTCTATCACGAGGAGTAATATATAATTTAGATGTACTTTGTACCCTCCGTCATGACTGTAAGATTACGGTGTCTGTACATTATCTGGAACTTTGCTATGCAAATATACTCAGTCAAATTAAAAACTTCACATTTTTAAAAGTAATCCCATATTTGATATACAACGGACAAATGTATCAGAGAAGGTAATTTTTAATCATTAATGTCCAAAGAAGGATTTTAATTAACGGTGGTAACCATAATTTGTTCCAAGCACCTACGGTATTCGGTAATAACATCAACAGTTTAATTCATAAGTCCCAAGCACGAGAATCTGATGGCACACAAGTTCAGTAGCGTGTATGGCCACCATGTGCGTTGACAACTGCCACACAACGCCTCCGCATGGACCTTGTGATGCTTGTAAACACATGATTGGGAAGACGACGCCATTTTTGCTGCAAAATGGTGCCAAGATCTTGCAAATTCTGTGGTTGGTTCTGGAGAGTGCGCAGACTTCTGCCAAGAGCATCCCAGACGTGTTCGATGGGATTGAGGTCGGGAGACCTTGACGGCCATGACGTTGACTCCGGCATTCGAAGGACATTCCTTGTCAAAATTGTTGTGTGGGGTCTGGCATTGTCGTGTTGGAAGATCAAACCGGGTCTATGTGCTGCCATAAAAGGCAGAAGTTCTGGTGCCAGTACCTGGTCGCGGTAAGCAGCAGCGTTGAGGTTGCCACGGATGACAAGAAGCCTGGAACGTGCATTGCCACAGAAAGCACCCCACAAGATGACACTTCCGCCTCGAAATCTGTCAACTTCCTGTACACAACACTGGGCGTAACGTTCATGACGGCGCCTCCACACCCTCGCCCTACCATCAGAAAATCGAAGATTAAATCGGGATTCATCACTGAAGACGACTTGATTCCAATTCCTCTGAGTCCATCGTAAGTGTCGCTGTGCCCACAATTGACGTTGACGTCTGTGTAATTAAGTCAGAATCGGACCGCAGTATGGCCGTCGTGCTTGAAGGTGAGCAGTTCTCAGACGGTTTCGAACAGTTTGCTTACTCAGTCTACCCCTAAACAGTTCATTTCTGGTTGATGTAGCCGTCAAAAATCTGTTACGGAGGTGACGTAAGACAATCTGACGATACTCTGCATGTGACGTCACACGTGGTCGACCTGGCCGAGGGCGATCAGCGGTGGTACCCGTTTGCTGTAGACGCGTCTGTAAATCATAAACAGTCCGTCGACTACAACCCATCGTCCTTGCGACTTCAGCTGCGGACGTTCCCGTCAGCAACATGCCGATGGCACGTTCACGTTGCACATTTGAAAGGCGTGGCATGACAAATGGCCGTAAAGACTTTTGTTTTCTTGTGTTTTTGTTTTTTTGTTAATGACTGCTAACAAGTATGCCTAAAAACACGTGCGGTATTATGGCCACGTGACCAGTTGCACGTGAAAAAACACTTTTGCCACTATAGTGCTGTGCACATGATTTTGATCGATTCACCTGCACAAAAACGGGTGTTATCTGAAGACAAGACGTGGCCATTACTGTTTAAATACACAATAAGGGCCAACAATGATAACTGGTCAAAATGTTAAAATTTTAGGATTGTGAAGTTTTTAATTTGGTTCAGTATATGGAAATTAAACCAACATAACTGTTTACCTTGCCCCTAAAATAACTGGGTTGTTGCGGTGCCTCTCAGTGAACTGGAACAGGTGCGTTACCTCTGATATAAATGTTACCTTGTAAAGTTTCTAACATAACTGGATTGTTACAGTATCTTTTATCTAAAAGGAAAATTGCAGAACCACTTATATAACGGTTACCTTACAGTGTCTCTCACATAATTGAATTGTTGCTGTCCTTTTACTTAACTGAAACATTGCAGGACTTCCTGCTTTAACTGTTACTCTGCAGTGCCTCCTTCGTAACAGGAACATTGCAGTACGTCCTGCTTCAACTATTACTTTGCAGTGCCTCTTTCTTAACTTGGTCATTGCACTACTGCCTGCTTTAACTGTTACTCTGCAGTGCCTCTTTCTTAACTGGGTCATTGCACTACTGCCTGCTTTAACGTTTACTCTGCAGTGCCTCTTTCTTAACTGGGTCATTGCACTACTGCCTGCTTTAACTGTTACTCTGCAGTGCCTCTTTCTTAACTGGGTCATTGAAGTGATTCCTACTTTAACTGTTACTCTGCAATGCCTATTAGATATCTGGACCATTGCAGTGATTCCTGCTTTAACTGTTACTCTGCAGTGCCTCTTTCTTAACTGGATCATTGCAGTGATTCCTGCTTTAACTGTAACTCTGCAGTGCCTTTTAGATAACTGGACCATTGCAGTGATTCCTGCTTTATCTGTTACTCTGCAGTGCCTATTAGACAGATGGACCGTTGCAGTGATTCCTGCTTTATCTGTTACTCTGCTGTGCCTATTAGACAACTGGACCATTGCAGTGATTCCTGCTTTATCTGTTACTCTGCAGTGCCTATTAGACAACTGGACCATTGCAGTGATTCCTACTTTACCTGTACCTCTGCTGTGCCTATTAGACAACTGGACCATTGCAGTGATTCCTGCTTTATCTGTTACTCTGCAGTGCCTATTAGACAACTGGACAATTGCAGTGATTCCTGCTTTAACTGTTACTCTGCAATGCCTATTAGACAACTGGACCATTGCAGTGATTCCTGCTTTAACTGTTACTCTGCAGTGCCTATTAGATAACTGGACCATGGCAGTGATTCCTGTTTTAACTGTTACTCTGCTGTGCCTATTAGATAACTGGACCATTGCAGTGATTCCTGCTTTACCTGTACCTCTGCTGTGCCTATTAGATAACTGGACCATTGCAGTGATTCCTGATTTAACTGTTACTCTGCAGTGCCTATTAGACAGCTGGACCATTGCAGTGATTCCTGCTTTACCTGTACCTCTGCAGTGCCTATTAGATAACTGGACCATTGCAGTGATTCCTGCTTTATCTGTTACTCTGCAGTGCCTATTAGACAACTGGACAATTGCAGTGATTCCTGCTTTAACTGTTACTCTGCAATGCCTATTAGACAACTGGACCATTGCAGTGATTCCTGCTTTAACTGTTACTCTGCAATGCCTATTAGACAACTGGACCATTGCAGTGATTCCTGCTTTACCTGTACCTCTGCAGTGCCTATTAGATAACTGGATCATTGCAGTAATTCCTGCTTAATCTGTTACTCTGCAGTGCCTATTAGATAACTGGACCATTGTAGTGATTCCTGTTTTAACTCTTACTCTGCTGTGCCTATTAGACAACAGGGTCGTTGCAGTAATTCCTGCTTTAACTGTAACTCTGCAGTGCCTATTAGACAACTGGACCATTGCAGTGATTCCTATTTTAACTGTTACTCTGCAGTGCCTATTAGACAGATGGACCGTTGCAGTGATTCCTGCTTTACCTGTACCTCTGCTGTGCCTATTAGATAACTGGACCATTGCAGTGATTCCTGCTTTACCTGTACCTCTGCAGTGCCTATTAGACAACTGGACCATTGCAGTGATTCCTGCTTTAACTGTTACTCTGCAGTGCCTATTAGATAACTGGACCATTGCAGTGATTCCTGCTTTAACTGTTACTCTGCAGTGCCTATTAGATAACTGGATCATTGCAGTACTTCCTGCTTTAACTGTTACTTTGCAGTGCCTCTTTCTTAACTGGGTCATTGAAGTGATTCCTACTTTAACTGTTACTCTGCAATGCCTATTAGATATCTCGACCATTGCAGTGATTCCTGCTTTAACTGTAACTCCGCAGTGCCTATTAGGTAACTGGATCATTGCAGTGATTCCTGCTTTAACTGTAACTCTGCAGTGCCTATTAGATAACTGGACCATTGCAGTGATTCCTGCTTTATCTGTTACTCTGCAGTGCCTATTAGACAACTGGACCATTGCAGTGATTCCTGCTTTAACTGTTACTCTGCAGTGCCTATTAGATAACTGGATCATTGCAGTGATTCCTGATTTAACTGTTACTCTGCAGTGCCTATTAGATAACTGGACCATGGCAGTGATTCCTGTTTTAACTGTTACTCTGCTGTGCCTATTAGATAACTGGACCATTGCAGTGATTCCTGCTTTACCTGTACCTCTGCTGTGCCTATTAGATAACTGGACCATTGCAGTGATTCCTGATTTAACTGTTACTCTGCAGTGCCTATTAGACAGCTGGACCATTGCAGTGATTCCTGCTTTACCTGTACCTCTGCAGTGCCTATTAGATAACTGGACCATTGCAGTGATTCCTGCTTTAACTTTAACTCTGCAGTGCCTATTAGACAACTGGACCATTTCAGTGATGCCTGCTTTAACTGTTACTCTGCAGTGCCTATTAGATAACTGGACCATTGCAGTGATTCCTGTTTTAACTCAAACTCTGCAGAGCCTGTTGCATAACTGGTACATTACGGTGTCTGTTCTTTATTGATACCTACATGTCCACTGCTTAAGACATTGAGTAACCTAGTCACCTAAGTTAACTGCAACATTGCAGTGCCTATGATAAAAATGTAGTATTGCGTTAATGTTACATCCAACATTGCGGTATCTCTAACATAACGTCTCCCTTCGTATGGCTCCATCAGTTCTTATAATTAACTCTTTCCTAAGCTTGTAGACATTGAGTGAGTGAGTGAGTGAGTGAGTTAAAATTGTAAGTCACATCGGCAATATTTCAGCCATATCGTGACTATCAATGATTAAACACATTAAATACATTGAAACTTATGTTAAAAAAATGTCAACAACCAGACTTATCACAGACAAGGTGTAAAACTAGCATAGAATCATACTAAGGATAGCACTATACATTACAATACAAAATAAAAACGGGCTATAGATCGCAAGCAACTGAAGGTAGATCACCGTACTGAGGACCATGGGGACTTACAGTTTCTTTGCTACCTGCTTGGACCCAAGCAGGATTTACACCACCCCTTCAGTAGCTGGCGATTGTACTCAATGTTAGCCAAAATTAAAATTACAAATATTCAACGTTTAAAGGAGTAGTAGTCAAGAATATTCTTCATTGACATGGACTTACGATATTCTCTCAGGGGAAAAATAATTTTACACGAGGAAACAGCCCGTAACAAACTCAGATATAAATTCATTCTACTAATTTTAAAATTTTATTTTATACAAAACATATGATCAAAATTTATGATACAATTCTATCTCTTTTCAAAACCCAATAATTGAAAGGATAATTAATATTACTCAAAAGATCCTTGAGAGATGATGATTTGAAATATTGATCCCTTGTAATGACAAAATCACATCACAAGGGATACAAAACGGAGGATCCTCACCTTTCAACAAATATTCATTTGTGCATCTACTATGGCCAATACGACATCGTCGCATAATGACCTCTTCAATTCTGGACTGACAGCCCAAGTACATGTAGGTGTAACCGATAGTCGGTTTAATTTCATGTAATTTATTGATACCTATTTGGGTGTCCCACTTATTCTGCATGAGATCTTTGATGTAAGATCCAATAACAGGTTTATAATTAGTGTACGGGATCAGAAGTGGTGTCACAGATTTGTTGAGTGCTGTTTTTGCATCAGCATCAGCCATTGTGTTACCTATGATACCAACATGACTGGGTAACCAACAGAAAACGATGTCGTATTGGCCAGTAGCAAGATAATTAAACAATTCAACACTTACAATTAAAATTGGATGCGTGCATGACAAGTGTTTAAAAGCATGAAGGCAAGAAAGATGTCTGAAAAAATTTCCCAGACGTCCAAATTTGATAAAAAATAGTCAGTAAGGATGCTTCTGGTCAAGTAGACATTGGAAGAACACAAAAGTATCAAAATTTTATGGGTGAGGGTAAAAGACGTTGCTTTGAAACGTGGTTACAAACGGTTAACATGCTAATATGGGCGCACAAACCTAAATTGTCAATGCAAGAGAATGACAAGTCTAGATTGTCCACCGCAACAGATTCTATTTAATGGCGTAAAGGGAAAAAAAGCTGTTAAAATTCAATGAATGGACAACTGTAAATCAGTGATGACACCAGATGTTAGCGAAAGGCTAGGCATAACCTGCCATAGGCCCTGCCGGCATCACCCATCATACACATAATTTGCATAAAAGGACATATTTATTGCCTGACGCTGCGCAGCAGTACTCCTGCCGTGAAAGGATTGTCCATTTACTGATTTGTTGAAACTAATAAAAACGATGTTGAATTTTGAATTATTTCTGCTGTTTTCAAGTGCAGAGATTCTGCTTCTTTAGGGTAAAGAAACATATTCGCAACACGACAATTGGGATCAAGTATATTCAAGATACTTTGTAACAATCAAACAAGTTAGCAAATATCTGAACGAATACTGTGCATGAACGGTTCAAATCAATCTCACAATCTCTGTTAGATAAACGATCACAAATCACGTCTTATCAAAATTGAAACCAGATTCTACCACTCTTACCAGATCGTCGATTATAGGCACTTCCAGAAAAGCATTTCTCTTTCCGTTTTGAAATGCGAGCGTTGTGACATTGTTGGCGTAGTCAGTGGTTGAATCTGCATCGCCGTTGGTGTAGGACACTGATGCAGTCATTGTCGACCTATCCGATGATGGTCTCCTAATTCGGATAACAAGTTGCCCCAAACTCTCGGTGACACATGATTTCGCATTCGCCCTGAACACCAATGGAGGCTGCGTGGTTGTCGTGGTAGTCGTGGTGGTCGTGGTCGTCGTGGTAGGCGGCTCTGGAGGCCTTGTAGGCGATTCTGGAGGCATTGTAGAATAGCGTTTAATGTGTTGAAAATTAAAGCGACAAAGGCAGCACAATCCATTGTACGATTCCAACAATATTACAAACATCATTGTGTTTTAATAGTGAAACCGGCTCATGATCATTTGTTTCATATTTAGATCTATGCATAAAGATTCAGAGTAACAAATACATCTCCACAATACTGTCTGACAAGAGGGGTGACTTCCGCTTTCCAATATTTAAATTTCCCTTTATGTCAAGCTGCAATTCCAACAGCTCCAGGATGCAACCTTTGGTGTCCCCATTTAAGGCACAATCGAGCATACTACTTCTACGACTTTTAGCAAAGGGTCATAGGACTTGCTCATAGGTTGTTTGACCTTAGTAACGCTTCCAAAACGTTTTATGGTATACATGTGGAGGCCATTTCTAAATTTGACGCGTCAGTGAGAAAAATGATATCCGATTCAATTCCATGCTTTTAGTTGTACCAAATGTTCCCCTGGTTTTTATTCTGGTAAATAATTGACTTGCTTTTGCAAGTGTTGTTGACGGGTGCCACAGATGGGGCAGGGTAAACCTCTCGAACACGTGGTATCATCACTTTTTGATAGTGATTCATAAACACATGTTCATGATATAGTCGGAATCGTACAATCCAATCTGCTTTTAGTGGAGACTTTTTATGAATATGGAAATGGTTTTATCTTTTCCAAAACCAACCGGTTCAAGCTGTGTCTAATTGTTACTTGCTGTAACCAAGAATCATCAAATATCAGAAAGTGTAACTAGCTAGGAGCGATACTAGCGTTACTAACTATTATTAAGCGTTAACAAGAGTCAACAGCTTTTAACCTATTTCACACTTTCGCCATCTTGGATCGAAAACGAGGCTTGGTGTGCAGAGTGAGTCGCCTCAGCTAATCGGAAAGAAAGAGCAAGTTGTGATTGGGAACTCGAGTCCCTGCGTTCCACTGAAGGGCATTTTTTCAACCAATTAGATGCAATCCTCTATGTCTAATACAGAAGAGATTCCATATTTAATGCTGAGGTCCAAGCTAAATACGCGCGTAAAACACTGGAATTCGCATTTTGCTTTCAGGAACCCGGAAGTGAATCGAATAGTGCATTTCCAAATAAGTTTTCTGAATAAGATAGCATACATATGCCGCCGAGGTTATGATGAAACAATGTGATATTATATTCGAGGATACAATTTATGTTTGTAAATCAACCGGAAGACATGCAACACTTCTGTGTAATGTGCTAATTCGAACAAGTTACTGTAGTGTTTGCTGCACCTCGCACTATTGTTTTTCCATGAATCCAGTTGATATAAGGCATTTCCTCTGCTATGATTTTCATTCAAAAATATTACGATGTGAATGAGGATGATTAACATAACACGTGTGTCAAAATACATATTCAGAGGAGGTGACAACTCTATTCAGTTTGTACAATGACAGATGAAACATTACTTTCCATTAAACATCACTAACTTAACCGAATACTATCGTTTCGTACAAAATTAAGAGTTTGTGGAATGTTTAAAATAAATTTAAATTAAAATTAAAATATCAATAGTATAAAAATTACATGAAATTGAAGAACTATTACAATTAATACAAAATCAACTTCCAGAACACCTTAACCTAACCATATCATGACACAAAATTATATATCCTAACTTGTATGAAAATATCTCGATCAGATATGGGTACAGATAAAAAAACAGATGCAAAGGAATCAACTTCATCTGTAATAAAGCCCAGGTAATCAAACAAGTTTACCAAGTCAGTGGAAAGACACAAAATAAAGAAATAAGCCGATCAGTAAATATCATTCCCTGTAAAAAAAAGTCATTTATGTGATGTGTCATTAATGACATCAAATTGAAAGCAAACTATGAGTTGATTGTTTCTGTTTAGTCGTAGCAGGTAAATAATTAATTATTTACTTAATTTCAGAATGTCAACAAAAAATGTCAATGGATTAATTAGAATTTACGATCTGGGTCTGTAGAAAAATATTGTCAAAATTCAGTTGACATTGACATATGTATAAATCTAACGTTCTTTCTTTTCCCTGAGCCTTAAGCCTCTAACAAACAAACTATTCATACTCAAGATCTACTAAACATTAGACAGATATTGTGAGTAGTTTAGGACAGCACTCTGGTAGCAAAGCCAGCAGGGGTTATCTCCCCTACCGGAAGTGCCGCAGTCTCGGATTCGCGAAGAGGGGCATGCTGGGTAATGCGTGCGCATCAAAGATGGGCGAGGAGGAGAAGCGCACGTAAAATCCTCCACTTCAATAAAAGAAGCGTGCGTAAAATCCTCCACTGAAGCAAGTAAGGCTATCATGGGCAATCAGGGTTGGCAAGCAGAGTGAGGAGGAGGAGGAGGAGGGTTCTTTTTTGTGTGCATTTGTTGGCAAAGCAATGATGAAAGTGTTCTTTCGGGAGGGTTGGGTGGCCCTGAAAAGGGCCGTTTGGAGAAGAAAAAACCCACCAACACTGGAACGGGAATGGGAACGGGAACGGGAACTGGAACGGAAACTTCATCCTAGGAAGGCAGGTGAAGCTTCCTCATTCGCGTTGCTATTATTCGCATTCTCCTCGCACAGATAGTGCCAGAAAGTTGTAGCTGCCACGTTCTTCTTCTTGTGTCTCACCAGCCCGGTCAGCTTGAGGTAGGCGCAGTGAGAGGACCACTTTAGGTGTTCCAGCCAAGGATCCTAGTGGAGCGCCCATCTTCTCAGCCGCATGCCGCAATGAAAGCAGTAAACACCATCGGCACTTTTTGTGTACACGTAGCCCGCATGAGCCATCTCTTCAGATGGTTCATTTGCATCGGCCACCCCTCAAACGAGGCTAGTCTTCTTTCAAAGTGTAGAAGGGGCGACGGTGACTTACTGGGCGGCGGCGGCGGCCTACCATCACAAGAATCCGTGTACTCAGATCTGGACCCACAAGCATCCGTACCATCACTCCTGGGTCCACAAGAAGCCACACCCTGAGTCACCAGAATATTATCTTGGTCCCCTCACAAGCATCTGTACAGCTCTGCGTCTCTGCCATTCTCGGTGTGATGATGATTTTTTCACAAGTGAATCTGAACCCACTCGAGTTCGCTCTCTTTTTGTAGGAGAGGGAGCGGATCGAATTTTTCTGCTGTTTTGATTGGTGCGACACGCTGCGCGCCGATTGGTCCGTTCCGGGGCCTGGTCTGAGCCTAGGTTTTCCAAACCGGACAAACCCTTGTGTTTGTTTTCCACAGGAACAGGCATTTTTTCCATGGGAGAGAAAGCACAACCCGCTGATCGACCAATCAGAGACCCGCACAGGGCGTGTGTGGCCTCTGATTGGACGAAAGCCCAAGCTTCTGATTGGTGCCTTTTCGATCCTGCTTTTTTGGGGGTAGACGTGTCCACCACCACCACCGCCACCACGATCATGTTGTGGAACGGACATCTGAATTCTAAAGGTGGACCTGCATGGACAGACATGGACGTGATGTAGGAATGCCTACGTGGTGTACTCCTTGTCTCCGTGCAAACGTGATGTAACTCGTGACTACAAACATACGTTTTTATATACTCAACAACAAAAGTTCCTTTGACACAAATATTTTAGAGAATTTTTCGGTTCGGGGGCGGCAGCGTTGTGGTACGGGGTGGGATTACAGCAAGACAGAGGACCCGTTTGATAGTGGTAGAGGGAAATCTCAATGGACAGCGCTACCGCGAAGATATCATCGGCCCTGTTGTTCTACCGTTTTTGCGTCGTCATGGCCAACGCATAACCTTTCAACATAACAACGCCTGGCCTCATATCACTCGACTTGTTCAGGTTTCTCTTCGACAAAACAACGTGAATGTCATCCCCTGGCCGGCTCGGTCCCCTGATCTCTCACCAATCGAGCACATGTGGGATGAGATGGATCGGCGACTTCGACGTCAACCACGTGTTCCACAGACACTCCAGGAACTTCTTTAGGGGGGTTGGGTTGGGGGGTTTGTGTTGGGAAAGCAATGATCAAAGCGTTTCTTTCAGAAGAGTTGGGTGGCCCTGAAAAGGGCCGTTGGAAACAAACTGGAAACTGGAAAACTGTAGGAAACTGGAAAACTGGAAACTATTGGAAACTGGAAAACTGGGGAAAAAAGTTAAGCAGCATGCCATGCGTTAGTCACTTTTCTCAGATGATAGGTGCCTGATGACGTCGCTGGCGCTTTGAAGGGAGCTATCTTGAGGGGCTTCTGTCATATTTTCACTTGCCTAGGTGTGGTGTGACGTCCGCATGGAGTTGTGTGATGCATTCTTTTAGGGCACGGACATCGTTATGCATGTCTTCTATGAGATGGAGCACTTGTGTCACTTGTGTCACTTGTGTCGACATGGACGGCACTGCTGGAGTCTTCTTGTGGCGGTGTTCTGGGCAATCTGCAGCGAAAAGGCCAACGGCTTAGCAGTTGTAGCACGGGCCTTGACTGTTTATCTTCGTTTTCGAACAGACATAGTACAGACATTGAGTGTGGCACTCGGTACATGTCACTTCAGGGCAGTACAGGTAACTGTGACTGTTGGTCTGGCACTTCATACAGCTGTATCGAGACATGGTTGATCTCTCATTCAGTGCTAGGACTGTAACGGTGTGCGTGGCTTCGCGCCCTTTATAGGAGAGGCACTGAAACCCTGCTTCCCGATTGGACGAAAACCCCGCCTTTCTCATTAGTTGGTTTCTGTCCCACACGCAACCAAGTTTGGCACATACGTTGTGTTTCTTTTCCATAGGAAAAGGGAGGTTCCATGGGAGGGAAAGCACAACCGCTGTTCGACCAATCAGAGACCAGAACAGGGCGTGTGTGGCCCTCTGATTGGTCGAAAACCCAAGCTTCTGATTGGTCATTTTCGATCCTGTTTATTCTTGGGTGTGCATTTCGATCCTGGTTTTTTCCTCGGGTGTGCATGTCGATCAACATCCTAAAGACAACACAACACATTTTTTTTAACTTTTTTTAAATTCCCCCGCTCACATGAACCAACACTCAACACTAAAGCCACAGGGGGCGTCCCTGTGACACACACAAAAAAAGAATCATCCTCCTCCTACTCCTCCTACTCCTCCTACTCCTTTTTCCTCCACGTGCGCTTCTCCTTCTCGCCCTCTTCGATGTGCACGCCTCTCGGAACCGGACGTGCTGCCATCTACATATTGTAGCCAGTGTGTCATTATCAGTAGGACGATCCTCCAGCCTTCCATCACCGGATATGTTTTCAGTTTTCACAGCTCACATCTTCTCCCATGAAATATGCATTGTACTATCAATATCGGGAGGTGGGTTTCGCTGATGTTTAAGGTTCTGGTTCTATTATACACATGGGTATAATCAATATGAAATCCATTTCTCGTATCCCCGCCGTGAATATTGCTAAAAGCGGCATAAACACCTATTCACTTCTATCAATATGGAATTAGCATTGCACCTGTATCGGGTAAATAGACCAAGCGATGAACTAAGCCTCACCTCGCCCAGAACATATGCACAACAGCAGCAGAGAGCCAATGATGTAGATGGTGTTTAAGCACATTTCCCCAGGCGTGTCTGACAAAACAAAACAAATCATTAAATCTGATATCTGAAAAATAATGAATACATCAAAATACATCATCCACTACAGTAAGTTCACGGTTGTTTGACGTTGGTAGTCTAATACAAGACAGAAAAATTCCTGTCATCAACAAACTGTGATAATGTGGTCAGGTTTATTGTTTTGCATACACTTAAATTGGGTAGTACAAAATAGACTTTTAATGATGAAGGGACGTGAATAAGATATCATATTGAAGGAAAATGTCTCGTTGTTGCATCCACGTAGCTCATAATCGGCGAGTTTAATTAATCCAAATCCCAAATCCCATGTTTAATATTGTTTGCACGCACCCTGCAGCATGGATGACATCAATGTTGAGGTATTACAGACACAATCATTAATCATTATGCCGTCACAGTTTTTGATTATTGATCCCATTTGAACCGTTTCAAGTGCATGTTCAAAAACATGTTGGCGATGTTCGTTTGTTTGTTTGTTGTTTAAAGCGGCACTCAGCAAGAGTCCAGTTATATGTAAATAATTGAGTCTGGACCAGACAATCCAGTGATTAACATCCACGCAAATGGTATACAATGACATGCATCAACCAAGTCAGTGAGCCTGACCACCCGATCCCGTTAGTCGCCTCTCACGACAAGCATAGTCCCCTTTTACAGCAAGCATGGGCTGCTGAAGACTTATTCTACCCCGGGTCATCAGGGGTCTTGTTGGCTATTTATTGTGAGGATGCAAAGAACCAAACGACGAATGGGGTGTGTCTCAGTGTGAATCTAGACCCTCCTGAAAACACTTCAAGGTCATCAGTTTCCGCCAGTTTCGTCGTTCTAAATATTATTGACGTCTGGTTATACTGTAAACAGTTACCGGAAATGTGACGCTGTTTCACGGTAATTCCATGTGTTAAGCTGACAGCTTTATACTGTTTTTATTATAACTGAACTGTGCTGTCATATGTTTCTTCAGTTACGGTCATTTACTGTATGCACTGTATCAAGGCAGAAGTTATGATACGGTTTGACAATGCGTCCCGGGATATGTTATTTCAACGCCGCCATTACGCTAAAAGGTGCACAAAAGGGTGACAGCTGTGTGCACATCTGCAAGACGACAGTATTATGTTGTTTTTATTATACCTGAACTGTTCTGTCATATGTTTCTTCAGTTACGGTAATTTACTGTATGCACTGTCTCCATTACGTAAAGGTGCACAAAAGGGTGACGGGGGTGTGCAAATCTGAAACTTCAACCTGACAGGACAACATCGGTACGCATCATGGTGGTACAAACTTCTATCCGAGCACTGGGATGCTGAAAGTTGTTTTCTATGTCAGCTCCGTTCTGCAATCGTGCGTCATCCCGCCCTTGACTGCTACTGACCTACATGTACCTCCATATCGGTCACGTTACCTAACAGTACATGGATGAAGTCGTTAACGTTGTTTTGGGACATACCAGACCTCGTCGTCACGTCTCCCGTCTGACGTACAGGTTCCACATATGCGAAATCACACTTTTGGACGTCGGCATATCTCTAGCTGTCTGGCATACTGACACCCCACCCATTATCTTTCCGATTTCTTGCAGTTTGTATTACCCTGACATTGTCAGTAACTACACTACCGGAAAAAAGAATGTAAACACTTAAGCATTGGATTTGACTAAACAATTACAAATGTTATCAAAACGTTGTTTGGCTGAAAACACTGAAAACTAAAGGTCACGAACACAACTGTGATACTGGTATGATGAACCATGTCTTGCTTCATTTCAGGAACCAACAAGAAATGGGTGTAAACTAAAAAAAGTCTTTCTCTTGCATCTGTGTTTTATGCTTTCTGATTTTGTCTTTCAATGGGCTCATTCTTGCCTCTTGAATTTTACGTTTTGCATATGCTGCGGCGATAATGTAGAATTGTGTTTGCATCTATTTGGTGGACATGGCTCAGAATTCTTGATAGCATGTCACTCAGCAGTGTCTCAACTTAGCCTCCCTTTCATCCTTTCCATCTGTGTATCTCACATACATTTACGGTAACATTGAATTTGTCACTACATGACGTTACATAGCCACACTGGCCATAGTAACAAACTATCACAGTTTATGCGTAATTTATTAAATATAATGATTCCGACAATAGGTCATTTTAAATTCGATGTACTCTTCGAGATCGTTCATTTTGTTACAGTTTGAACTAGGCCAAGCAATAACGATTGTAATGTATGATTCTAATGAATAAAACTGCAATGTGGATGTATGTCTTTGAAAGAAGGTACGTTCGATTGTTGGGTTGAAACTTTAGTCGCATTCACGTCAATACAATACTACTTCGTGATAACTGACATCATTGCAAAAACTTGCTGAATAGTGACCAGATTTCATAGGATATGCATCGTCAAAAACAAGAAAAAGTAAACCTTTGCCTTGAGTGAAAATGTAAAATTCTCGCGTGTTTAGGCTATGGGAAACCGTGTTAACCGTAGTTCGACACAAGAGGAGGGTCGATGTGTCTACTCCAATCAAATAGCATAGAGGAGATATAATTATTTGTATCTTGAAATGAGGCATATCGTTGAATATTCGATTGGTTTGTCTTTTTTTTTTGATAATTCTAAGGCATGGAGAATCCACAGCATTACTAGAAAAGAGATTTGCGTGCTGAATTGTTGAGTTAAGCAATCAGACCACTAAATTCGGCAGTGCTGTATTTTACCTTATATTTAACCTGTCAAATGTAAACCTGCAGGGGATTTAACCCTATATTAACAACACTGTAGTTCTATAGCATGTTGATTGCCGAAACCCGGAAATCGTTACATCTACGGACAGAACTAAATTGTGAAATCAGTAAATGACCACACAAGATCAATGAACAATCAACAAAGTATAATGAAATACACAATGTTAACAATCATATAAATTAAATAATTAGATTGCTCAATATGTGGCAGCAGCAATAAATAATAGGCCCTATTACAAGCTCAGTGCCTAGTATTTGTAACAGGTGGATGTTTTCTATTAAGCATGTGTCCTGTTCTTGAATCCCGCAAACAGTGTTGGAAACAGGCTGAAAACTTGTCTTTTTCTGGCAGGTATATGTGTTTCCCGTCCGCATGGGCAAGTACGATAGAAAGGATGAAAGTCGAGCTTCTCACAACGGAGCTATCTGTGCAGGGAGGCTACAGCTACTGAAGGTGTCAAGCACGTAAACAGTGAGGGAAGCCACAATGTTACACTTTTGACCACCGTAGGCTAATTGTACACTTAACGTTTTTTCAACGCCTCATTGAATGTAGACTATTTTCCAATTTTTCAGTCATAGAATAACACGAAATTAGATCTTGATCTCAAAGTCAACTTGTCCACTCATAATATATCGAACTGTCCGAAATGTTAGACAATAAGAATGTTGATATTGCCTCTGAGTGCCGTTACAATATTGTCGAAAACTACAATAATCGTTTGATGAAAGAACAGGGTTTTGGTGACATATCATGGAATGTCACGCATAAGATCAGAATGTTATCCGAGGAGAAATCTGCCAAAAGCATACAACAGTACTATCAACTTTAGCCTTGACTCTTAAACCTAAAGAATTGTCCATTCCACGTTTGTACTGTATTCCAATGCTCCGTAATATTCCGTACAGAGAGAAATATGTTGCTGGGTTCAGCAAGCGTACCAACAAATCTCAGTCTCAAAGATTAACCATAATCCTTAAAAATAAAAAGTAAGGACTTTCTTTATATTCACAGAATATATTTGAGACAAGTGGAATTACTACCGTCTGGGTTCTCACAAACTTAAAGGACAAACCTAAAGGACTTGCTTCAGTTTTGCAATCTCAGAAAAGAACCAAGTATACATTTTATTTTTTAACTTTGTACGCCACTATCCCACATGTAAACGTAAGGAAAAAACTGATCCCTGGGGCATTTGTTACTAAAGGTGATCATAGATATGGTTACAGGCTGTGCCACGTCAAGCATCCAGCACCTACTGTTTTTTTTGTAAAGTCGCGAACACTTGGCGTCATCACTGATTTTCAGTGATCCATTCATTTAATTATCACCGCTATATTGCCTTTTACGTCCTGTGGAATCGGTTTCGGTGGATAATCGTGACAAGTAAACTATAGATTTACATTTCTATTGTCACAGGTTCGGGGTTACTTGTCAAAAATAAAACCAAATGCCGTCTCAAGTTTAATGAGAAAACAATATCTGAAATGCTTGGGTAAGACATTCAGACAAAATGTAGGGAACCCCTAGGCTACAATCGGTTCACCTTCATGCTGATTATGCATAGAATCGGAATTTCTTCTCAGATTAGGAAACTCAATACAAGGTAATTTGGACGAAAAGATGAACTTCAACATCAGGTACATCGATAATATGACATCGTTCAATAACCATCAAATAACTCATTCCCTTCTCTGATGTACCCACCTGAACTAGAAATGAAGGAGACGAAGGAGACCTCGTCTGTTTAGGTTTATATCCATGTATAGAGATAGAGTTACAAACACTCTCCACGTGACCATATGACATAAAGCATGACTTCAACTTTCCAATAGTCAACTTTCCCTTTATGTCGAGCAATATTCCAACAGCCCCAACCTTTGGTGCCACATTTTACAACGTGTGATGTACAGTCGAGTATACTCTTTATACGATGATTTCAAAGAGCGTCATAGGACTCTTCAACAAAAGTCGTTTGATCCAAGTTACAACATTCAAGGCCCCAGTAAGGCTTTCAAAACGTTTTATAAAAGAAATGTGGAGGACATTTCCGAATTTGACAACAATGATGTCCGATGCAATTCCCCTTATCGACACGTTCAATGTGTTCCCGTGTCTTTTCAGATAATATAACCACCTGACTTGCCTTTACCCGGGTGCCACCGGTTGGGCAGGATGTACTCACCTTTTAGCACCTGATATCATCAGAGGTTCAGAGGTTCATTAACACATGCTCATGATATTGTCGGATTTGTATAATCGACTCGGTTTTGGGTCGCTTTAATATATCTTGTGTCTTCTTAAGCAGTACATGATTAATGGAGTTTCAGATGACGAATGAAAGAGTATGGTTTTACGCCGCTATTAGCACTATTTCAGCAATATCACGGCGGGGGACACCAGAAATGGGCTTCACACATTCACACATGTCGGGAATCGAACCCGGGTCTTCGGCGTGACGAGCGAACGCTTGAAGCACAAGGCTACCCGACCGCCCTTCAGATAATGAGGTTTCACTGTACTCCTAGTTGATATAAATAAATCCCCATGTAGGGATCCCGGGCAAGAATAGGTCCCTAGGAAGCAACCTATCCTGGTCGTAGGAGGTGTCGTTATGGATCGGTAGTCAGGCTCGGTAACGTCAATGAGAGAGTGTCCTCGTACACATACGGTATAAATTATTGCTCACAATATCGATCATTGGATTGTCTTATCCGGTCACGATTATTTACAGGACGAGGTCTGAGTGAGGCGATAAACAACCAATGAACAAAAAAACAAATATAAATATCGAAACTATTTGATATAATTAAACATGCAATATGTAATGTGGAACTACATATACATGGTGATTTCATATGCCGACTTACCAAGTTCTGCCAAACAGGTCTTCCAGCTGGTAATGTAACTTTCTAAACTAGGTAGCTGCAGCCTGCTTCAGAGATATTTTGAAACTGATTGTCGGATTAGGCGACGCACATATACATACCTGTTACTCAACCAGTGACATTCGTCGAAACATCTCGATATGCATCAGCACTCCAGATGGGCAGGACAGCTTCAAATAGGTGTTTACATAAGCTAACATTTTTTTATACAAAATGTGTTTTCGTCACACTACGTTATCATCGAGTGCATGAAACCAGTCATGTCAGTCCGTTCTGTAAACGGTGACAAGTCTTGAAAACAATCTATAGGAAGGAAATGTCAAATGCTAAGGAAAACATTGAAATATCCATATGATAATGGTCAGACATGTTCAAATGGCCTCCGGCTAGTTGTTTTCGTACACAGGCCGCAGGTGTACTGCGGTTCGGCTTCAGGCAACTTACAAATTGGGAGAAGCCTTCTTCAGGTCTTCATGCTGGAGCAGGACACCCGGTGTCATCACTGATGTCCTCTGCTCAATTCATATAATGTTCACCTATATTTCCCTATATATAGTGGGATCTGTTTCGCCTGATTATTGGAATACAAATTACTAAACGGGTCCCCGTTAGATACATTGATTGATTGTTTGTTGTTTAACGCCGCACTCAGCAATATTCCAGCTATATGACGGCGGTTTGTAAATAATCGAGTCTGGACCAGTGATTGACATCATGAGCATCGAACCACAAAATTCGGATACGATGACATGCATCAACCAAGTCAGCGAGCCTGACCACCCGATCCCGTTAGCCGCCTTTTACGACAAGCATAGTCGCCTTTTACGACAAGCATAGTCGCCTTTTACGGCAAGCATGGGTTGCTGAAGACCTGTGGTTTTGCAAGAGAAGCTGCGATTATAGTCGTCTGCACAGAAGATGGGGATAATCCGAGTTTTCCGATTGTATTGTGTACATCATTTCACAATCAGCGACACTATTTCTTGTCACGTTTTCTACAATGCAGCAAAGCACGTTCTTTTCACGTTCAGTTCAGTTCAACATGGCAACAGAATCGGACGACGAGCTTGTGGCTGCAAGCCAAATTCTTGACCACTAATGGAATGCCAGGTACCGAGGCAACCAACAGCATGAGAATGCCAGAGTACTCGGACATTAGCGACGACAGCGACGAGAAAGAAGAGCATAAGCGTTTAAATTACATGCCGTCGTGTGCAGACATGGAAAGCCGTGTTCGCATTGCAGTGCAGAATATCACGCTTCGACGAAATAAGTGGGCGATAAACACGGTTTCTCACTGGGCAACGTGGCGGAACAACAGACGTAACAACGAGTTGTAAATCATAACTACTGTAGATAAGATGGACGATGAGCAACTGTCATTTTGGTTGACAAACCTTGTTCTGTAGGTAAGAAAAAACGACGTATCCACCTTCATCACCGTTGACCCTGTGGAGTGAGTGAGTGTTGTTTTACGCCCCTTTTTGAGCAATATTCCAGCAATATCACGACTGGGGGACACCAGAAAGGGGCTTCACACATTCACACATGTCGGGAATCGAACCCGGGTTTTCGGCGTGACGAGCGAACACTTTAACCACTAGGCTACCCGACCGCCCCTTTGCCCTGTGGATAGGAATTCACATTCATTTCTGGTCAATATATTTCTCCTGACGTATTTTGATTCCCATGGTTGATTTTATGACACCAACAGAGGTTTTAACTCCAACATTCACATCACCCAAGGTTTATAACGTAATATCAACCTCTGATGACATCACAAACATGGATTTGACTTGAACATGTACTATAGAAATAGTTTTCGAGGTGAAGCCGAGAGAAATATTTAAGAAACACTGACGTGAAAGAAAGAATACTGAAATATCGAGGCAAAGCCGAGGTTTTCAGTATCTGGACGAGAAGGATACGCCTCACTCTTTTATATTCGCTTGCAATGGCGTCACCAGAGGTTGCTCTTTCCGTATCGCCCAAGGTTAAAATTAGGATATCGACCTCTGATGACGTCACTTCAAATGGATATGGTTAATATCTAGTTATCCTCTCACTAGACCATATCATCCCAAATTGTATCTATGAGAGTAATTTCAACTTAAGTACATCTATCTGTACGTGATGGTTGTATGTATCCAGTGCAAATCAGATAACGCGTTCGTTGAAACATGTCCCACACAAGAGCATTTTAGTGCCATTGAATATTTTCAGGAGACACAGATTATAAGACCATCCAAATGGCTTTCGTTGCTGCGTACTATACATCTGGTGTTGCAATTTCTGTCTGACAGGCGAGGTGAAATGGGGATTATCGTTGCGTTCAAGATTATAGCCTCTGTGTGTGTGTGTGTGTGTGTGTGTGTGTGTGTGTGTGTGTGTGTGTGTGTGTGTGTGTGTGTGTGTGTTACCTTGTGCTTTTCTTTCTGCTTGTACTGATACTTTTACAAATACTGGTTATATAGTGCTAGCCCACCGGCACACCATGCCACTGTTTAACATAATTAAAAATACCACCACACCGACTCAAAGCCGACCAGTATACTTCTAAATATAAGTTATTTATTTGCATGCATTTGCTACCCTTAGTCAAAAACTGTTTGGCTGTTAGTCAAAAAGCTTGTTCGTCAACAACATTATGAAATTCTGTCTATGATTATTGAACGTGTTTCAAAGGGCTGAATATATGAATGAGGATATACTCCACTCAACCTTAAAATGTCAGTCTGACTAATTGCTCAAGAGCCCGCTCAGTCGGCAGGCTTCTATTCAGTGTTGTTATATAAGTAACTTTGTAATTTATTGAAGTCCTTGGTCATTCAAAGAACTTACGTCAACCCCAAGCAGCCTAAGGTTTCAATGAAGGCGTACTTTAGCAACAAAACCACCTTTGTGGTCAGTGGGTACATGCTGGGTGTGTCTTTAATGCTCTAATACCTTGTGCGTTATCCACACCTTGCCTTTATGTTTTTGTACCCGTACATTTGGCCAACCTGAATCTCAAATCAACAGGTAACATTTCCAAATGCTAAAATTGCAACACGCATATTTCTATTTAACATGACCGCAAACTTTTCTTGTCTTTGAACATGATAACATTAATTTTATTTGACAAAATAGCAGTTTCATGTACTGTACGTCATTTTAAAAGAAACATTTAAATAAGGAGTAGATACAAGAAACATATTAACACACTATCGTATCTATTATCTGCTTATTATCATTCATCGCCATCACCAGACGTAATTCCTTCTATAGTCATCTTTCCCTCAATGTAAAGCAATATTCATGCAGTTCCATCCCTTGGTATCAACATTTCACAACTTCTGAGGTACAATCAAGCATGATCTTTCCACGACTATTTCGAAGAGCCCCATGCGGCTCTTGTTCAAACAATGTTTGATCAGGCTTACAAAATTGAAAGCATCAGGTTTCTATAATTATTGACTGTGGTCATACAAACCGATAATATTTTACCCGCATGTACTCTACAAGCGATTACCTTCCCCGATGTTGATTACACGTTATTAAAGTTCTTAATGGATATCTGTTTGTTGTAACGTTGGTTTATTACAAAAATAGAATTGTCGCTTTTGTTCAGTCCATGAAAATCCACTGTCTCCTATGATATTTCACTAAAAACAGAGTACACTTTAATCATATTTGAGCAAGTGATAGTTTACTTTGTTATAATGGCAGTGTAGTTGGGAAAAAGATTCCAAGCAGCAGAGGTGTTCAAGCTCAGCCATGGAAACCGATCCCACAAGTTGAGTGTCCTCGCTAAATCTCCAAAGGTGCCAAAACTTGTAAAAAGCCTCAGCTACGTCTCAGTTAGACATTGATTTTCAGCGTATCTTTTGATAATGATAGCAACTGTCCCACTAGGGGGCGGCCGGGTAGCCTTGTGGTTAAAGCGTTCGCTCGTCACGCCGAAGACCTTGGTTCGATTCCCGACAAGGGTACAATGTGTGTGAAGCCCATTTCTGGTGTCCCCAGCAATGATATTGCTAGAATATTGCTAAAAGCGGCGTAAAACCATACATATTCACTCACTCTAGATTCCCGTTGGTTAATTCTGACTAGATCACCGACTGCCAAGGGCGACGCCATGTTTGTAAACACTGAAAGTCGTCCCTACTTAACGTTTGATATTTGCATTTGTATCCACATATGACCCCAACGTATATCGTTTTTATCCATTGGCTTTATCCTGTCGAGACACCTACCCATTTGTATGACACACATATTTATCCTGACATTTATCTCATGTTGAGTGAGTGAGTGAGATAAACTTTAACGTCGCATCAGCATTATTTCAGCCATATAGCGACGAGACCATGATACCCCTAGCAGGATTTATGTCATCACTTCAGTCACCGGTGGTTGTGAACAATACTAGCCTACATTAAAAAATACTCAGCAATGAGTTGGCTTTAAAACACTGGTTGATTATAGTTACATCGATTATGATAGGATTACGTGTCACACGGGGACAATAATTTTACGATACTTTAACCCCCTGGACAGAGCCTTCTATAAAGTCAGTAGACAAAAGCATCACACCAAATTTAAAAACAAGCATTTAATTATTCACATACATATTAAAAATATATTATACAGACCAATTTATTTCAAATAGCTGATAATAAGATGCCCGCTGACACGGGAAAAGAGATATTTCAGATTAACGCCTTGTTAATGTGAATCCCTTGCGATTGCAAAGTCCACACAGTCAAGCAATATACACTTAGGAGGTTCGTCCTCATCTTTCTTAAGCAGATATTCGCGTGTTAAACGACTGTGGCCAAAAAGACATCGTCGTAAAACGACCTCGTCATGTCTTGACTGACAACCCAAGTAAGTATGGCCGATTGTTGGTTTTAATTGCTTCCTTCTTGGGTGTCCCACCTCTTTTGCGTGAGATCTTTAAGTATAACGAATATAACTTTTAATTGTTGGTTTGAAATCGCTGTAAGGGATAAGTAGTGGAGATAACGGTTTGTCAAGAGCTGCTTTAGCTGCAGCATCGGCTTTTGAATTACCTATTATGCCTACATGACTTCGCAACTAGCAAAAGACAACGTCACATTGGCCAGTAGAAAGATCATTGAAAAGTTCTAAAAT